CACCGACTCAGAGACTCACAGACTCACAGACTCAGACTCACAGACTCAGAGACCAGAGACTTACAGACTCACCGACTCACAGACTCAGAGACCAGAGACTTACAGACTCAGAGACCAGAGACTCTGACACTCACAGACTCAGAGACTCAGAGACTCACAGACTCAGAGACAGACTAAGAGAAAACAGATTTATTTTCTACAAACCAACAACTTCACTGCAGACAGGTGAGCAACTGGTCCAGGATCCACTGGATCCGGATTAGGATCGGGGTCTAAACTAGAGGTGCACCATAAATCTGCTGACGGTTTATCAGCACCAACAGAGTCCACAAAGTCCAAGGTCCACAGAGTCCAGGGTAAAGCTGAAGACTGGCTCTTCTGTTCCAGGTTAGTTGCACCTCAAAACCTCAGAACCTAAAGACTGACAGACAGCTGAAGTGTTGAAGGTCCGAATCCAGAAGCTGCAGAAGTTTAAAAAGTCCAGTTTGTTTGGGCTCCAAAGAGCTGGAACTAAAAACCCAGAGACCAACTGATCCAAGTCCAGTTTCAGGTCAGGTTTTATAGAGTCCCAGACTATTCTACAGGGTCCTGAACTGGATCCACAGGGTCCTGGACTGGTTCTACAGGGTCCTGGACTGGTTCTACAGGGTTCTGAACTGGATCCACAGGGCCCTGGACTGGTTCTACAGGGTCCTGGACTGGTTCTACAGGGTCCTGGACTGGTTCTAAAGAGCTCAGGACTGGATCTATAGGGTCCTGGTCTGGATCCACAGGGTCCTGGTCTGGTTTTTTCGAGCCCTCAGCTGGTTCAGCAGACTCTGGTCTTGTTAAGTTCTGAAGTGGTCTCAGGAGTTCTGGACTCAGATTTCTGGTTTCTGCGATGAGTCGTTTGACTCCGACCATCCATTGGCTGACCTGGGTCACATGGTCCACCATCAGGGAGCGATGGACCTCATCAGCTGAGTCCCAGTGACCCGCCTGCAGCTCTGAGAGACACAGGTGTTCAGACAGGTGTTCAGACAGGTGTTCAGGTGAACAGGTGTGTCAGGAGACAGGAAGTGAGACAGGTTACCTTGGGACAGGGTGTCCATGCGTCTCTGGACAGGTAGGCTGAGTTTACCTGTCCTCCAGCTGTCCTCCAGGAGGCGGAGCCTCTTTGCCACTTCATTACACACCTGGACCTGAGAGGAGGTCAAAGGTCAACTGTTAGC